CAAAATGTCACTATGACTCAAACTTCGAATCAATATATAAATGCCTTTTATGTAATGCTTTTATTAATATGGGGTTAACAGGTCTTGAAATACAACAGATGAAACACGAAAGCAGTAAAATACAACGAAGTTTAAACGGTAACTCTAAAGCACTACGAATTCTACACGAAATGCGAAATCGTAACGCCAAAATACACGAAATACGTGTTACCATTGAAGCGGACTCAAATGGAGGCGCGAGTGTGTGTGTATGACCAAATAAATAAATTAGAAAGTTTTTCGCAGCCCATGAAACTGGCGAATCTGCTTTTGATGACTCCAGTTTTTACCTTTTTCAAGAGTTCCTTAATTAAAGGAGAAAGAACATATACATAAGGAACATAACCGCCTTTCATGGTTATGTCCCATTTCAGAGTTTCCCATTTGAGGCTTTTTTAAAAATCGCTTCGTTTCAGTCTTTTTATTCAAGGTCAATTTTAAATCTAAAAATGTGACGAAATTCACGTGACTTTGAAATATGTATGCACTATGACCACGAGAATTCCTAAAGAATACTCGTAGCTAAAATATTATAACACCTTTACATGAAAGCGAAGGTTGAGAACTTTTCAGATAACGTTACATCTAAATTAAAAATGTTAACACTCCAAAGACCCATTAAAATTCTTTAGCGATACTGCTACCATTGTTTTATAATAAAACAGATTCCTTAATGAATCATTTTTTAATAATACGCGTTTCATCGCTGAGGTGAAATCTGAGCGGGATGCAGAGCAGAAATGCCCCCCCGAACATCTAGCAGAGTTATATGCTATTCAAATAAATAATGTGTTCTTTTTTCCAGCTGCAATAAGTGTTTTCCGAGGACAGGCTCATATTCATGTTACACATACGGAAAAACACGAAAACAACCATGCAGCCAGCCCGTTCGCTTGTGATCGAACTAGGGTCGAACTCCCAGCATTCAGCGCTCTTAACTACTCGGTCACTGGTGGGGCAGCGGGATATGAAATTCATATATATTTGCATTTAGGGTTCCTGGCGATTTGCCTGTTTGTTGTATTAAAAAAAAAAAAAAAAAAAAAAAATCTCGTTTTGAGACAATAACAACGTTTTACAACCTTGAATGATAATGTGGGAAATATTGTTGCCTTGTCCATGAATTCATGGAAAAACGGTAGCCAGAACTTCAACTTCCGCCCCAATTTTGAGGAAGAGCATCCCGCGGGGGAAGGGGGGTCCAAGAGTCTCCCACCCCTCTCGCCTACCACCAAACCACATGAGAAGGCTACAGTCCCTGCTAGACGGGACTTTTCTGAGAAACGAGATTCCGGTAGCACTGGTTTAAACGGGAGGATTCCTAGAAAATAGGGCCTAGCCTGAAGCGAAGTCCGCCTAACTACGGAAACAATGTTGCGGCTACGCAGGATTTTTTCAAACCTCACCGAAAATGTGTCGGCTGGACCTCAGTCCCGGGTAGAGAAAACCAATCAGACGAAAGTTCTGCTTCTGAAGCCTCACGTGATCCCAATCTGAGCGATAATCGATTAGTGTTTGGCGTTCAAGTCTTTGTAGTAAGTGAAAATGGTAACCTAGCTACGTGGGTTTCCTGGAATTGTGCGGGTTCTGAGAAATGTCCCTTTCGACCTGCGTAGCCGAAACATAATGTGATTGGGACTTTACAAACATCCATGTCTTCTCCAGGATTCGAACACGGGTCCTTCGGTACCGCAGTAAGCTCACCTAACCACTATACCGTTCGAGCGACAATAGATGGGAAATAATTATATATATGTGTGGTAATTCGCTCCTATAACTCGTCCGCCTTTTCCTAACTCTGGCAACAGCGACAGCAGGAGATACTTCTTCAAGCTGCGTGAGGAAATGAAAGGAGACTTGCATTCCGATGAGGTTATAACGTGGCGATGGATGGAGCTGAACTGTGCTGCTCGACGATGTTGATTGATGATATAATTTCGTTTCATGATGAATAGAACTTTTTTATCTTACTCCCTTTCACACTCACTGTACATACCATAATCATGTTTATTCTTTCATCATTAAATACCTTTAAAATGCCACTGCCTTCCTCTATTTTAATCCTAACCTCATCCCACATATATATAAATCGATTCATTTAAAATCTGCTACATACATAAGTTCATGCAAGATAAATATATTCATTTGCTTCTAAGATGATAAGAAAAACAATAATACTTCGATATAAATCTGCTTTCTAAAAAGGAAACGAAATCTCAATGCTCTAATATCAAATTAATTCCCTACAAACAGTTTTATACAAACTTTACTTAAAAAGGAAAGTAATCATCAGTTTAATTTCGTTAAATATTGTTTCGCACACCTTTCAGAGACAAAGTTCAATGAAACCAGCGATCGAGAATGATCCCCCTTCAGCTCTCGCATTTATAGGCAATCGCTGATTTTGAAATGTTTTAAAAATCAACTGTAAAAGTACATCAACCGCGTCGTTTGTTTTTTCTCCTCTCTTCGAGTTTAGCTATAATTTGCATATGTAGCTGCGAAAAAAAAAAAAAAACTGTCATAACAAATGTACTGTAAATCCAAAATCTACTACTTAACTTTGGTGCGATCATACACGTACTATTCTTCAAGCGTAATCTCAGTGGGCAATATTTTTTACTGTTTTTTAACGCCCTCTCCGTCCTCTAAAATAAGTTAATCAGTCACTGCCCAAATTGCTTACGCAAGTTAAATGGCATGCAGCCAAACCCGTGACACTAATTGATATATATATATATATATATATATTATTTTGGCAACGAAGGAGCTTCTCCAGAAATTATGAGCATTACACACTGATATAAGTAATAATGCCATAATGGTATGGCATCTTGTAAGCGAATTTAGAGCAGTCATGATTAAAAGAAAAATTTAAAAGTAATTCAAACGTTCTTTGAATGGATTTCCATTCAGAGAACGTTTGAATTACTTTTTACTTAAGCATGACTTTAGTAGGACACAATTTTGCAAGTTTTTTTTTTTTTTTTTTTTTTTTTTTTTTTTTTTTTTTTTTTTTTTTTGGGGGGGGGGGGTTGCCTACGTAAAAAGATAAAAAAAAATTGTATCGATCTAAGAAACAAGCTTTCAAGCATTTCTCATCATTCAAAGCGGACCACAAACCTCGACTTTCGCTACTACGGCATGAAATAAATGTAAAACATGTGTGGTGTTGTTTGTTTACATTAGTACTGTAAACTAAGGTATCCACAGCAATTCCCTCTACCCTGCATCTTGGTTGAACCTGTGGTAGCTAAGCATCACTAGGTAACAAAACATAAAAACAGAATAAGAAACTTTTCCGAAAAACTGGCTTCTCCCAACATTATTTAGAACGGGAGGTTTCTAGCCGAAACAGATACGTTCGACGATGTGTTGCGGATACGTACATGGCATTTTTACGAGGCTGGTGAAATGTTTCTTCTACAGCACCCTCTCGTAGGAAGGTCAGAATTTGCTTCTGGGAGGTCTTCCAATCAGATTTACTGGAAGCAAAAATTCCCGGAAATGTTTCTTTTTACGAGCAATGGAGGATAGATAGCAGGTCTGATGGCGCTTTAATGCATTATCGTCACTATCAAGACATTTAAGCTATCTTCCCAGTTCACAAAACCATTTAAGTCACCAGCGTTATGTAAAAGCCATAAGATGGTGGCTATGTAAAATGTTTTTGCAATGTAACTCACTACATTCTTTTTTTACGCCATTTCGGCTTACAAAACGTTTCACATGAATGTTGTGGTTCCATAATACGGCGGGAAACGTGCATTGCATAATATTAAATTACAAAACGGATATTTACGGCTTACGAAACAGCTCTTCAAATTAAACTACTTTAAATGTAATACTGTTTTTAGATATCTTGTTAGTTTTAGTTAAAAAATTCACAAAAATAAGTTTTTCTGCTTTATTAAAAATACATCCTCTTATGAAGCCTCTTAAAAATACATCCTCTCTCTTTGGAATTATTTACAAATTAATAATCGAAGATTTTTTTATGTCAGAATAAAAATTATTTTTATCGGATAACTTACGGATCTGTTTCGCAGATATAAGAATTCTAAAAAAAAATGCACATTTTAAATGTTCGAAATTGCACATGACTAGTACAAAATTTTGAAAAAGTATATTTTCTACTGTAAATTAAATAAAATTATTCAAAAACTTGAAATTATTCCATACATTGTTCCTTCTGTTTAAAAAAAAAAAAAAAGTGCTTAGCAATTGATACCATGAAAGCTGCAAGATAATGAAGTTAAACTTTATTCATTACGAAAATAAAACAAAGAAATAAGCAACCCCATCTTTATTTACGCAATATAGGCATTAGCCAAAAAAAATTTCTTACTGAGCTTTTTATTACATGCAGCAATAACTGCAAAACTCGGTTAAGGTTATGCTGAACCAAATATAAAATCATACTAAGTCAAAATTTAGTATACATGTATAGTTATCTGAAAAACTGACGATAATGGTAAAGTGTGTTATTTTATTTATATTTATTTTACTTTTCCCCAAATATATTTTTTTAAACACATAAATGTTCCGAATCTATGAAACATTCATTTTCTTCAGAATAGAATAATTTTATCTTGCAACAGGGAAAAACATTTTTTTTTTTTTTTTTTTTTTTTTTTTTTTTTTTTTTTTATTATTATTTTTATTTTTAACATAAAATGTTATAACCATTATTACATAAACTTTTTTTTTTACATAAAATGTTATAACCATTATTACATAAACTATCTTACAACTGAACTGAAATCACATAAAAAGGAATTAATTTATTCAGGAGCAAATGAACCATAAACTAATAAATTTTCGTATCAAATTACTTATGTTTGCTAAATTATTGAGCACTTACATTATATATTGTAATATCATAGACAGAAATGTCGTCGCAAAAAAAAATCTAATTAAAACACATGATTTTTTAAAAGATTTTTTTTAAATTCACTCACCATTTAAATGGCAGGATACTCTGCGTGTTGAGCCTGAATTGTGATCTGGTCCCCCTAGCATTGCTACCGACACGCCATGTATGGTCGTAGCATCCGGCCATGGGGGACTATAATTGAACCTTCAGATGCTGACCCTTTTCTAGGTTATTACAAAAATTACTTGAATAAGAAGCGTAATGCCACCATTTCAGAATTTTTTAAAAGGTTGTCTACACTAAATCTGATCTTGTCCATGAGATAGATGTTACTTCAAGAGCTGCGCAAGCTGCCACTCGTAGGAAAGAAAGGATTCTGTCGCAGATTAAGATAATGGAACATTCATATGTACGTAGTATTTTCTTAACGGAAGTCAAACGCATTGGTTGCAATATTAAACCGCAATTCAACACGAGACAGCAAGTCAGTATTACGATCGGAGTGCGGCTACTATTGTATCGATTACTTCAGAAGCCGTCATGCATCCCCTACCGCAAATAGGAGGTCGTGAACTTCTGAAGGACATCCCAAAAAATTCCGTCGCAAAGTCAGGGAACAAAGATTTAAATTTTTCATTTTCGGAGCAACGAATTTATAACAGAAATCACATGGTGGCAAAGATATTAGTCACAACAAGAAGGATAATGTCCAACTATATGATATCATTCGATCAACGTAAACTAAATTCATGGCTATGTCCATTTCGATCGCATTCGAATATCGATGAAAAAGAAATCAGATAACAATACTCAGATAAACAGATGCTTCTTGGGGACGGAAGAAACACATAAGGATCAAGTGCTTTCTTTCGCCTGAAAAAGCGCATTAAAAGATTATTAGCTTCCTTTGTGAATGAAACATGCTTTTCTAAACCATCGGAAGCTCAGATAGCACTAAAATATTAATTGTATTAATCACACGTTTCACATCATCTCCTGAAAGAAGGTCCAAAATACATCGCTGGATGCTCTGTTGTTAATGCTCCAAAGCCTACTGCGCACCCTCACCATGGTTACCCCTGTTTCAGCACCCCACGGAAGGATGCTTTCGAAAAACAGTCGCCAACTCTAGAAAGCCGATCGCCAAGAAGGTCCGTATTAAACGTCAATCGTTTCTATCTTTTCTTCCCTTGTATTACACTAATTCAGAGATTCCCAACCTTTTTTTCTTGCATCGACCCCTTTTTAAAAGAATGTTTTTCTTCATCGACCCCCTTGCATTTTTCTCAATAATTTATAGTATACAGCTTAATAATAACACAAATAATAACTTAAAGATAACAGATTTTATAAACAAAAATTTTGAAAAAAATGATTATATTTATGTTTAATTATTTTTTGTATTATATTTTTTTTTAATTTTACAAATATAAGCCAATTATCACACGCAAAATCACAGATTCCAGTTGCACAAAAAGTTCCATTATAATCAGTGTGATGGCTGCGCTTCATGTACTGATGCAATTATTTTTTCATATTTGGCATATAAAATTGCTTATTTTACTTTTTAAATCAGCTCATTAAAAAATGTTCAATTTTTTTCTTGTTTTCCGTTCTTTGTATTTTTTTAATTGTGTTTTCGTGTATTCTTGCATTTCACTTTTTTATACTGCATGTAATCTATAAAAAAAAGCTTTTAAATTAAAAAATATTTTAAATAACTTAAGCCTATTTTTTCCTCTATATTTATTTTATACAATTTCTGTTTAGTACATGTCACAGCTTTTTATCATTAAACAATTAACTATTATTTTTTAAGGAGGAGGTGGTAATCGATGGGATCATGATTATCATCAGTGGAACATGATCTATTGTAGGTGCATATACAGATATAGACCTCTTTATCATCATGGTCCCCTTTTAAAATTTCATCGACCTCCACTGGGAATCCCTGTTCTAATTAAACCACATATGGTTTAATTGTTTTCTTGGAAAAATGTTCATTTTGGTATTTGCATATCTTAACGGAGTTTTATCGGCAGTGATAAAAGCTTACAGATATACTTGCTAGACAATAAGCAAGTATATCTATGCAGTGTAGAAATATATGCTATAAAAGCTATAAAATTTTAAATTAGAAACTAAAAAATAATTTTAATAAAAGGCATCTGAATAAAAGTTATCAAATTTTTTATCGTTAATTTAAAAAATTAGCAACAAAAAGTTTTAAAATAAACCTAATAATAACGTATTAAGACATATTATCAAAAAATTAGGGAAATATTCTAGAAATAGATTGAATAAATTTTAAAGTGATGTTAAGTGCCCAATGGTGCCATCAGATTTAAAATTTATGCCTACCTTTACTACCAGTGTTACCATCAAAATATATAGTTTGCTTAAATGTTGCCATCCAATTCAAAATTAATATATTTCTTCTCTAAAACGAATGCACATAGTAAAGCTTAAATTTTTTTCAACCTATTACAAACTGCTTGCAATTACATTTTCGCCAAATATTCTATTTCTTTTATTTAAAAGTCAAATAAAAACTATGGTTAATGCTTATTTATATTCTGATCAGTTAGAACTAAATCATTACAGGTATATTTACATCAGCTTACACTGGGATTAATTTGAGATAGTTTACCACAGCCAACTATTTACTCTAAAAACTATAAAGCTAAATTAAATTTTGATGGTTAGGCTTAACCAAAGCACTATGCATTTTAGACCGAAATACTCAAATTTTTGCTTAAAAGAGATTTGATTAATTAATTTCAATAAAATTCATTTACCTAAAATTATCACATCAAACTTATTAAAACGTTTAATATCAAAATTATCATCTAAATAATCAACTTTTATGGAATACATAAATGTTTCTCTTCTTTATGCCTAAGTATCTATCATGTTAATGAATATGCATAAAACCTGTTATAATACTATTTAAATAACACGAAATTTATTCTAAACATTTACATAGTTGCATACTATGCCATCGCGTGTAGTACACAATAACAACCTATTAATTCAGTATACGCACAAAAATAAATTCTAGGAATAGCTGCATTCTCTCACATCAAAATTGTTTTGAAGCTGAAAATTGTTTTGCCTATTGCTTACACAATATGTGAATTGCACTCCAAGTATTCAGTTGGCAGACGCATAAATTACGTAACTGTTCTGGAAGAATATTTAAAAAAAAAAAAAAATTGGGTATGTGTTATTAATTTGCTTCGTCAATTAATAGGAGTAATTATTGCAAAATTATATTTCAGTCCCAGACTATGCTTGAAAATTTATTTTAAAAAAATTTAAAAGAAAATTTATTTCTTTGAAGATGAAAATACAAATTTTGAATCGTTTGTTAAAAAAAAGGGGGAACATCTCACGTTGCTGAATTTTAAAAATACAACAGTGAGAACCATTTAAAAATATTATTTTGTTTCTAAGCTTTCGGAATGCACCCCTTGTTTTGTATTCATTGTTGGTCTCGAATAACACAGTTTCATACAACACAGTATTTTCTAGGAACATATCTATTGTGTTATAGGAAGAATATCTGTATACATGTTCTTTTTCCAAAATGATCGGACTCGTTGTAACATTTTTAAAGATTCAAGAGTTTTTCACTCTTAAAGAAACATTTTAAATTCGCTTTTTGTATTATAATCTTTTGTTAACTTTTGATCACCATCATTGCAATTAGTACGCATTTCATTTTCTGGTTTACTACTACTCATTTCTGTTTACGTTAAGAGCTCCTTTTTAATATCCTTCCTTGCATTCTTTACTTCTCGGATAACTTTCATAAGATACACATATTTCACTCGCAGCATTTCACGAGATGAAATGTAAAACAATATTAGCAAAAAAAAGGGGGGCAATATTATGTTAATACATAACTCTTAACAAAGGAAAGGGAGGCCTTCCTGAAAAATAATCTGGACTGAAATGTGAAGTTCTTTTCTGTAATGAATTATACTTGGTTAAATAATGGTGACACCCTGCCTTTTGAATTTCTCCCAGTTTTTGATTCATAGTGCGGCAAAAAGTAAACAGATGTTTTTCAGCAAGCAGCTGCGATAATGTTACGATATTGGCGATCGCCCGCCAATTCTAGGCGCCTTTCCGAACTTGATAAGGGCAGCATGCTTCCGGAATCGTGACGTCAAGCTCTCCAACTCTCTGTGAAAAGAAACTAAAGAGAAGAAACGGGCTCTTGTCGATGCTGCTGATCTTCTTCAGCATCCTGTGCACCCACATCCACCGCGCAGAGGCAGAAGAGATTTCGCCAGCATAAGATGGTGATGACAGGCCAAACGATACAATGCGGGTGGTGAGTGCGTTTGCTAGCAACCCGCTTCAACGTTTATAGGTTGCGAAACGGGAATACGACTACGAAAACACTTTTAAGGTTTTTTTTTTTTAATATAATTTAGTTATTTTACCTTATTTTATCGCGAAAAACCTAATAAATTTCCGCGAAAACTGAAACTATTCTATTTCCTTTTAAAAACAGCGCAAATTTAAGAAAACTTTCGTTTTTAGAATATGAAGAATAAAACCTCCAAATGACTACAAAAAACGCAACAGACTATTTCATATCAGCTTAAATAATGTGAATATTTTAATAAGCCATTAAAAAAAAGAAAAAGAAACTCTTTAAGTGTTTCTTTTAGTTTGCATTACAAAATTAAGAAAATGGAATGAAATAGAATTCGTGATTTAAAAAAAAAAGTAGAATTTTTTAAATGTTTTTAAAGCGAATAATAGTAATAATTTAAACCTGCATATTTCTGCAGAATATGTTAAAATATGCAATACACATAATCCTTAATAAGGTATGCATAAATGCATAATTTGCTACATTTTACACCCATTTATACAACATTTCCTCACGTATTTGCTCCCTCCTTTTTTAATTAAATTTATCATTCGAATATCGAGAGGGTAAAATTATGTGAATAACTTAATTTCCTAAGAACGCAGTTACATTAAGAACATAACAAATGAAAAGCAACCATGGCTAAGTTACTGGTAACTGTCACAATATTATTTCTTTAAAAGAAACCTACATTCCAATAAGAATACACTGTAATATTAACATTACAATATATGGTAGATAATGAGCCGATATATGATGGATATCTGACAGCGACGGGTCCTGCTAAATTAACTTGTATAGTCCCCTCACACGGCACCTTACATGAATGAGACATGACCATAGTCCTCAGGAAAAACATTGGTGGAACGAAGGAAAAGGGCGAACAAAAGACCTGGATTTCGAAAGATGGAATACACGAGCAGTAGGTAATGCTACAATGTGCTGCGACGTAAATAATAGAAGTAAAGTGAAATAACAGGTTCAGAAAGTTTCTTAAATATGAGAACACCTGTCACGTCCGGGTAGTTTAATGAAGAATCAACACAAAATAGGTTTCAAATAATAAAAGCACGAGAAAATAAAATAAATGAAATGTTAATACAAAAATGCAAATGCAAATTAAGTACACTTTTAGAGACATTATTTTTTTTTTTTTTTTTTTTTTTTTTTTTTTTTTTTTAAGCAGGCAAGATGAAAAATGAGGAACCGCCTCCGCCGGGAATCGAACCACGGACCTCTGGAATACCGGTCCAACGTGCAGAACCACTACACCACAAAGGCGCGCTAGGAAGGAGGGAGAAATACCTTATGTACTCTCCCTTTTAAAGGGCGACTGGGGTTTTTAGGTGACCCAATCGCCAAATCCTATGTGTGGAAAGTCCTCATTCAACACCCTTTTAGTTCGGGCGCCACTGTAGAGACATTAGGTATGTTTTTGGAAGCAGGTAAGATGAAAAATAGCAAACGCCTCCGCCGGGAACCGAACCACGGACCTCTGGAATACCGGCCGAGCGTGCAGAACCACTACACCACGAAGGCACGCTAGGAAAGAGGGAGAAATACCTTATACACTGAATAAAAATAATCAAACGAATAATAAATTACGAATACAGAGGGTAAAACTATGTTCAACAGAGGAAAGGAAAAAATTGTTT